GGGCGGCGGGCGTTGAGGGGCGTGAGGGGCGCAGACCCTCCTGCGCCGCCTCTCCGCCGGTCTACGCGGAGGCAGCCTGGCTGTCCGAGGGACGAGGCCGGCCGGCCCTGATCGCCCCTTCCCCCCTCCAGATGGCTCGCACGCAAAAGAATAAGGCCACGGCCCACCACCTGGGGCTGCTGAAGGCCCGCCTGGCCAAGCTGCGGCGGGAGCTGATTACACCGAAAGGAGGCGGCGGGAGCGGGCCCGGAGAAGGTGCGTGTGCCTTTCGCGGGGACGAGGAGGAGACGGGCGTGTTTTGCCCGGGTGGGAGTACAGCTTCGGAGCCCCTGTCTGTCACCAGTGCAGGATCAGCAACGTGGCGCTTGTGCGGCCCCAACAGTAGTGGGAGTAGAAAGCAAACCAAGTTTTGTGGGGTGGGCTGCCCGTCTTCCTGACAGTCCCAAGTGTCAGTCTTGCCCCTTCCTCCTGCTCTTTGTGCCTTTTTGCCAGCAGAGACTAAACCAAAATGGGTTGGTGGTCTGTCTATTGGCATGGGTCTCTGTGGAGCAGCCAATTCTCTTCCTTTTAATTTGAATATGTCAAAAAGCCCTTTTGTCCACATGTAAACACATTCAGGTTTGGATACATCATGCCCACACGATTTTGTCAACTGAAGTGTGAAAAGATTGCCAGCCTTATTATACTAGTATGAATTGTAATAAATTATATAAAATGCACGAGTATGTTCCTGTCACTTTATTTAAAAAACTTATTGAAAGGTGCAGAATTTTAAATTAGTTGGGTATTATATTTCTCTTCTTGCTTCAGCAGCTTAGCACCAGGCTGTCATTTGGGGATAGATTTGAGGGGTGGGCACCCAACATGCTGGAGGGGAGGGACAGCTGGGAGTTAGCTTACCTTTCTCTTGCCCAAGATGATCCCCAGGTGACACAAACTAAGATGAATTTCTCTGCTTTGACTTTCCTGGCAGAGGCTTTCTGGGGCCTGTCAGTTACTTTGAATTAATGATCACTTTGTAGGTTTTGATGTTGCAAAGACTGGCGATGCCCGAATTGGTTTTGTGGGCTTCCCTTCAGTGGGGAAATCTACTTTGCTGAGCAACCTTGCTGGTGTTTACTCGGAAGTAGCTGCGTATGAGTTCACTACCCTAACCACAGTTCCAGGAGTGATCCGGTACAAGGGAGCCAAAATACAGGTGAGGCCTATGAAGCCAAGGCTTGTGCCTGTACGTACCTCTTATTTCACATAAAAGTGTATGTACGCTTAGTGAGCAAGTCCAGAGCAGGGGGGATGCACATACCGTGAGTATCAAATAGCTTTGAACCTTTGGCCTCCAAAGCTTTCTCTGCTGGTTGACCTGTGGGCAAACCTCTGACAACTCTAGGAGCTCGCTTTGTACGTAAGTCCAACTGTGGCGTATGGCAGGATGGGCAACTTGTAGCTCCCTGGTTTTCATAAATACCAAGCCAACCTTAGCTGATATTTAAAAAAACAAAAGCAAAAACCAAGCATGGTTGACCTGTAGATAGGAAACCATTACAAAATCCCAAGACTGTAGACCAGGGCTGGCTGCGCAGACGGTACCACCAGGAGCAGTTTGGATTCCTTGACAGTGGGATACGCTTCCAAACAGAATTACGAGCAGTAACTCTCAAGGACTGGGAAGAACACAATTGAAAGGTGCCTTTCAGACCTGATCTGGAGGACTTTAAATTGAATCCTGTGGGGGAGGGAGGCCCCCCTTCCCCCAGAAAATAGCATGATCTCTGGGACTACAAGCGGTAGGCAGAATCTGGAGGTACCAATAAGGAGCATGCAAATACTGGAAGGAATAGATCAAGTCACATGACCCATAGGTAGGTTCTCTGTGCAGATTAGAAAACCACTGTGGACGCCCAGGGAGCTTTCCACTGAGCTCTGAATTAAAAAGGATGCTACAGGAAATAGAAGATGGGTGCAATCACCCAGGAGGTATACCAGACAGTAGTGGATACCTGCAGAAAGAAAGAAAGGTTAAAGTGATAAAGGAGTTTACGGCTCTTCTGTCAACAGAAAAGGAAGGGAAATGCAGTGGTCGGTGTACTGCTAAGAGAAGATGGTAAAACAGGAACAGGATTGCATCAGTGCGGTGTACGGTGGTGCTTAAAAGTCCGTGAACCCTTTTGAATTTTCAATATTTCTGATCAATATGACCCAAAACACGATCTGTTCTCCACGCAAATCCCAAAGCTAGATAAGAGAATGCAATTAAACAAATGAATCAACAACATTATACTTGTGTGATGATTTATTGAGGAAAATGATCCAAAGCTACATATTTGTGTGTGGTAGAAGTATGTGAACCCTTGCTTTCAGTAACTGGTGTACCCCCTTGGGCAGCAAGAACTGCAGCTAAACATTTCCAATAACTGTTGATCGAGTTCACAGCAGATCCCCCAACATTTTCCTGTAGAATTTGCTGGTACAATTCAGAATTCATAATTCCATCAATGATGGCAAGCCATCCAGGTCCAGAGGCAGCAAAGCAAACCCAAACCAGGATACTGCCACCACCCTGTTTCACAGGTGGGGCAAGGTTCTTATGGTGGAATGCAGTGTTTGCCTTTCGCCCAATGAAACACTTTCCATTCATGCCAAAAGGTTCTATTTTGCCCTCATCCATCCACAGAACATTCTTCCAATAGCCTTCTGGCTTATCCACATGGTCTTTCACAAACTATAGACAGGCAGCAATGTTCTTTTTGGAGAGTAGTTGCTTTCTCCTTGCAACTCTGCCATGCACACCTTTGTTGTTCAGTGTTCTGATGGTGGTCTCATGAACACTGACATTTGCCAGTGCAAGAGAAGCCTTTATTTCCTTAGACATTATTCTGGGGTTCTTTGAGATCTCCCAGAGTATTACACACCTTGTTCTTGGTGTGATCTTGGTTGGTCATTCACTCCTGGGCAGAGTAACAGTGGTGCTGAATTGCTTCCATTTATACACAATCTGCCTGACAGTGGAGTCCAAACTCTTTGCAAATAATTTTGCAAACTTCTCCAGTCTGGTGAGCATCAACAACTGTTTTTCCAAGGTCCTCAGAAATCTCTTTCTTCAAGCCGTGACACACTTCCACATCCCTGCATTGTAAAGATCAGACTTTGATACTGAATACCCAGAATCCTGTTCTTTAAATAAGGCAGGACCTCCCCCACTCACACCTGGTTATCATCCCATTGATTGAAACACCTGACTCTAATTTCCCCTTCAAATGAACTGATCGTCCCAGAGGTTGACATGCTTTTGCCCCACACACAAATATGTAGCTTTGGATCATTTTCCTCCATAAATCAACGAACAAGTGTAATGTTTTTGACTCATTTCTTTAACTGGGTTCTCTTTATCTAGGTGTAGGACTTGTGTGGAGAACAGGTCACGCTGTAGGTCATATTTATGCAGAAATATTGAAAATTTAAAAGGGTTCACGGACATTTAAGCACCATTGTAGTATAAAGAGCAAAAAAAAAAATTATCGTTCCTCTCTTCTGCAGTGGTCAGGCCTAGAATATTGTGGCCAGTTCTGGACACTGCATTTTATAAAGGACATTGACAAACTGGAGGGTGTCCAGAGGAGAGCAGCCGAGATGAGAGGCCTGGAAAGAACAACTTATGAGGAATGGTTGGAGGTGTTATGTTAATTATTGAGTTAGAAGAATGAATTTAATGGGTATTTGTCCCTTGTTGGGTTTGTTCAGGTACATCTGCCGGATACATCTGCCAAGCTCATTTTTGAAAGCTTCAAGCACTTAGTCTTTTTCATGATATTCCAAAAGGATAGAGGGATCTTTTTCAGATCATAAATCCATCCAAGGTTATTTCCTTTTGACAGTAATGGAGCAGAATAACTTTGGTATCTGCCCCCAGATCACCACAAAGCAAGTAAATAGCTAGGATTTCAACACATTCTTTCATGTTGTTGGCAGTGAGGTTGTGAATTTTGTAGGTTGCTGAGTAGAGTTTGGGAAGCAGTCCTTGGTGGAGAATAAGGCAGTGGGTTCTGACAACAGGCGCCGGGGGGGATTGGTCAGATATTCTGATGGTCAGCACAGCATTATGGAAGTCTCACATGACAAGGGAAAACACCCAGTAAAAGTATTCTATCAGGCTTCTCCACATCTCTAGTTTCTGATTTGTTTTTCCACAAACTTTGCAGCTTCTTGATTTACCAGGAATTATTGAGGGTGCCAAAGATGGGAAAGGCAGAGGTCGCCAGGTCATTGCAGGTAAGTGCTGGTGGTTCAGGGGCAAGAAGGGAGATTAGGATTGGCTGGTGAAGGGAAGAGAAGATACGCTCTTGGTGTGGCTTTTGCTTCTGATCCCAAGAGTTTGGGGAAAGCTTATTTTCATATAAAGTAGACACATGGCTTTTTCTTGCTTCCTTGACTTACATTTGATTAAAAATATGTGTAATTTATTACTCTGGTTTGAGCTAGGAGATTACGTGGATCATGACATTTTTTGTTCAGATTCCAACACTTTACTTTTGGCTTTTTAGAAGAGGCTGACAGAAAATGTTTTCAGGCCCTCCCCTTTCTTCTCAGTTGCCCGAACCTGCAACCTGATCCTGATAGTTCTGGATGTTCTGAAGCCTCTGGGACATAAGAAGATAATTGAGAGTGAGTTGGAGGGCTTCGGGATACGTCTGAACAGCAAACCTCCCAATATCGGTTTCAAGAAAAAGGACAAAGGAGGCATTAACCTCACGGCCACAGTAAGTATTGGTGCGGGCAGGATGTTTCCCGCCTTACTGCACCTGGCAAATCTGTACATGTCTAATTTGTACTCAGAGCCGTTTCTTGGCCTTTCCTTGATGAGAAGCGGGCATTGGTCTTTGGTCAGGACACTTTCGGCAACGGGGTTGGGGTTCTGGGAAGGGCTTGCGAGGATGTGATCTTCCACCCCAGGTTCTAGTCTCCATGGCTTCTATATGGCATCCATACCATCTGGGTGTGCTGTGGCCATCTTCTGTCCTGAGTGGTGAAGCGCCACATCAAAAACTGCCAATTGATTAATTAAACCTTTCCTGCCATATGGCTAAGCTTACAAGCCAGTGTGCTCCGCTCCTGACCCGGTCCCTATTCCAAGTCTACAGTGTTCTTTTAATCATAATTTTTTTGCTTGATCAGTGTCCACAGAGTGAGCTAGATATCGAAACCGTGAAGAGCATCTTGGCAGAGTATAAAATTCACAATGCTGATGTCACCCTGCGGAGCGATGTGACTGCAGATGACCTCATTGACGTGGTTGAAGGAAACAGGTAGTGTTCATGGGCTGATGAACAAGAAAAGGGGCAGTGGAATGTTGGGGGCTTGTCTTCTGTTGCATGGCAGGAAACTGGGGGCATCTTACCCCGTGGCTGCTCTTTGGACAGATACCTTACAGGAACAGCCTGTGCTCCTCATCCACTCCAAGAGCTGTGCTTCTGGCTCTTGTGATCGTTTCCAAGTGCAAGATGTTGCTCCAGGAATGAGTCTCAGGTGCAGGGAAAATTGCGGAGGCCTATCTTTGCTTTCTAGCAGCTGAACAAATGCCAAACCTCGCTACTCGTTAGGACTAGTAAATTGGCTGAATATAACTTACAGGGCAGATTCCTTGCTCTCCCTGCTTTGTTACTGTAACTACCTAGAATCAGAAGCCTTCTCCCCTTCAGGGAGATGGGAAGGACCTCTCTGTCTTTTACATTTTTTGCTCACCTCTTCATCCTTGCAGAGTTTACATCCCATGCATATATGTGTTGAACAAAATTGATCAGATCTCCATTGAGGAACTGGACATCATTTACAAAGTGCCCCATTGTGTTCCAATCTCTGCTCATCACCGGTGGAACTTTGATGACTTGCTGGAGAAAATCTGGGACTACCTCAAACTTGTGAGAATGTAAGTTTTGCTTTGTCAGAGCTCAAAGTGTATTTCATTCCGAGTCCCTTAAAAATGCTCCATAGTGTCAGTTCCTCCTCCCGCTCAACTCAGAAATCTCAACTCTATCTTTTTGATCTTCACTGTTCCTGGTAATTCTCTGATGCCCAGAATTTTGGTAGTTTTTCGGATATGCTGGATTGTAATCAGAAAAATTATGTACATGCTGGAATCATTCAGTTCTGTTCTGTAAAAAGGTAATAGTCCCACCCATGGTATTTTTAGGAATCATTGAATTTTTTCATGAGATGTTGGAGGACATGCTCCAGCACAAAACCCAACATATTTATATATAGAAAACGAGTATGTCATGGAGAAGACCACCTTAAATTCTCTTTCATGGGCACGTAGCTTTTTGTAGGGTGGGAATTATTTCTGGATAGAGGGGCCTGCCTTTCTGTTCCTCCGCCTGTGGAACAGTTTTGGGTTAACCACTGCATTTGTGGTAACGACAGGGTAAAGAAGAGTAATCTTGATTAGAAAGGGGCTTGTCTGAAAGCATGTCTGCTTCATGAAGGTGCGTGTCCTTTTGTTTAATTGCAGCTACACTAAACCCAAAGGGCAACTCCCGGATTATACCTCTCCAGTAGTATTGCCTTACTCTCGGACCACTGTGGAAGATTTCTGCATGAAGATTCATAAAAACCTAATTAAAGACTTTAAATAGTGAGTATGGCCTGCAGACAACCACCTCAGTTCCTTCACGGTTAAATTGACTGGGCTAGAGCTGGGAGCTCCAGCCTGCCGGGGGAGGGGCAGCCAGTGCTTGGGCCCTGCGTCCTGCCCAGAGAGCCTGGGCCATCGGTGAAGGAGGGGGGATCGAAACCAAGCCAGCCACCCAGACGCTTCGTTTAAGCCAAGATATACTTTATCTACAATATTCCCCTAATCTGCGAAGTTGTCTGATTAAAAACAGTAAGGTAAGATTAACGCAGCATGATTTTTCTTAACAAATCCATGCCAACTTGTGGTATCATTTTCAAGGGTTCAGTTGGTTTTCAGTCCAATTCTAGGATCTGCTCTAGAATTCTCTCACACAATGTAAGATTGACTCTGTAATTTGCTGGATCTTACCTTGTTCCTCTTTGAAGATAGGGACAACGTGTACACTTCCGTCAGTTGGTATTGCTTTGTTGTCTGCTACAATTTTGCCGGCTTCTCTGAATGGTTGCTATACCGATTCTTTTATTTTCCTTTTATTTTGAGCTTATCTAAAGAATTTTCAGCATCCTTCTCCACCCTCATCTCATTCTTATAATAATGAGAAAAACTACTTTCCCCATTAGCTTCTCCTGCCAGGAAATTCTCTCTGCCGTTGCTCTGAGGTTATTAGAAGTCATTGTTTTTGAAGTTTTGTCCTCAGTTTAAGTTTTCCTTAACCTTTGTCTTTTGGTTTTTCCTGTGAGCTTACATTTGCTGCAAGTATATGGCAGGTTTTTTTAGGCAGGTACTGATCTTGACTTTGGGGAAAATTTGGTTAGGGATTTCCCATTTAAACATCAAATTCCTGATATTCCCTACAGCTGCTTGCTTGGTGAGTTTGCTCCCTGGCTATCTTCTGTTCCTCAGAACTTGTAAATATTTGTTTGTTTATTTATTAAATTTATATGCTGCCCATCTCCCCCAGAGGGTGACACTGGGCGGCTCACAATTAAAATAAAACCCCAAAACAGTTAAAAATATAAATATCCACATTAATTTAGTTAAAAAGTCGAACTATATAAAAAGATCAGGTTATGTATGTCAGATGGGTGGCCGTACCAGTTCTCTAAATGAAAAGATGGCCTTCTCGTGACCCAGTGGATCCAGATTTGAGTCTTGTCAGCATTTTGCTGTGCATCATCCTGTATCTTCAGATGATCTTTGCTGGTGATTTCAGGTAGATGCTGAAAAGCGTAAGAGAAAGAATTTCAGCACAAGCTCTTGGCATGTCTTGACGCCTCCCTGCCAGATCAGGACGGAAGCAGGGCAAGACAAATCACCAGAAAAAAGAACATCCTGGAGTAACAAGAGTGTTTTAGTCCAGAAACAGCTTGAAGGCAGGCTGAAATGCACACACATACGTTTCGCCCAGCAATGCCTGGCTGTTATTTCAGAAGAACAGGATCAAGGGAATAAACTTAGTAACTGAGTTATAGAGGGTCACGTGGGGAGCCTGATGCAAATCTGCATAAAAAGGAAGATGCTCAACTTTAACTCTGTTTCTTTTTTCCCCCCAGTGCCCTTGTGTGGGGCTCATCTGTCAAGCACAACCCTCAGAAAGTGGGAAAAGATCATACTCTGGAGGATGAAGATGTAATTCAGATAGTGAAGAAATAAAAAAAAAACCCTCTGGCCCATCAGTTGTGACTCCTTTCAAAAAAGACTAGATTATAAAACTTCCCTGGCTTGCCAAATGGTTGCGTGGATGTGAACGCAACTGTGCCAGTTAGCTGGTGGGCTGATTAAAGTCTGTTTCCTGAGGGGGGGAGGGGGGCACCGCAAAGGCCCGGCTTTGTACAGCTGTTTCACCGAGTTCCCATTTTTGCCCTGGGAAGACTCCAGGCAATGGAGCCTTTATGCTGCCAACTTAAATTAGGCTGCTGATAGCAACAAGGATGAAAATGTACAACCCTCCTTTGTTACAGTATGTGGATTTGTATACAAAAGTGGCGGTCCTGTCCTTATTACTGATTGATGTAAATAAAGTCTACGGGCGAAAGCTGGGAGACGACATTCACGTCAAAAGTGCTCAGGTGGTGGTTTGAAATAGGCAGGACTGAAGTTTAATTCTCTGAGTATGTTAAGATTCTGCAAGATTGCAGCTGACATCAAGAAAATTAACTTCACTAAAAACGGGATTTGTAAAGAAAGCACCAAAAGGAAAATCAGTGTTAATATCTTTTTGGAATACAAGGAGTTTACTTCATGGAATTATTAAAGCTGACAGAAAAGGTTTCACTGTCTAGCAGTTCACCAGCGTTGGCTTTCTTACCAATTTTATCCAAACATGAAGGAAAAAACCCCACGAACCTATTTTTAACGTCAGAAACAGACCAAGAGGGATGCGAAAAAGGACTGAAGAGCTGGTATTGCTATTAGCAAGGAGAATGGTAAGAATTTGGCCTTGGTTTAAGTACAGTCAGAGCAGGATATGGCGAAAGAGCACTCGAGGAAGACACAGAGACTGCGGTGGAGATAATGCACAGCTCTCATTTGTCTTCTCTGCAACTGTGGAAGATCAGCAAGTCGTCTGAGCGTTATCTCGATCGATATTTTCAGGAACTCCCAGGAGCTGAGCCAAATAGTGGCGATGGGAGATGAAGTTGGGTCTTGTTGAGAAATTGAAATGAAACAAATAAGTGATCAGTCTTAATCCAGACACTCAGTTCTTTGGAAACAAAGAATAGAAAAAAGGCCCAGAGAAAAATACTTAGAAATCTAAACAGCTAAGACTAACTGTATTTTAAAGTTATGTATTAAACATGTTTTTGTAATCTTTTAAATACAATTTAAAAAACCTACAAGACAGCTAAAAAAGGCTGACCTAATTTCAGGAGGGAGGCTGCTCCTTAAAGTGGGGGCTGTAACTGAAAAGCAGCCTCTCTGGGCCTCAGTCCTTCACCCCACCCTGGACCTCAGAAAGCAGGAAGCTGCAGGTAGTTTCTCTCAAGAAACATGTACTGGATGGGCGATTCCAGCTGGAGAAGACAGTCCTGCAAGTACCCAGGCATCAGGTCATGCAGGACTTTTATGTTGATTTGCGCTTGGAAGCTCCCAGAACTTGTGTCAGGCGCTTGCAGCGGTGTGTGGTCTCCACTGCTGCCTTCTGCCCTTATGGCAATTTCTGAGCATTTGTCCAGGGCAGCCCTCATGGAGCAGCAGGCAACGGGTGGTGATAAGGGAATTGGTTCTTGCTCTCTGAGGGGCTGCAGCTGCTCCACCTACCCAGTCAGCATAGCCTGAGTCCAGGAGGACTTGCATCATAGGCTGGCATCACACCCTTGAGCGCCAGCCATGACACTGATGGAGGACTCTTGTGCACCATTTTGCTAGGGTTCAGCTTGTCTCATCCAAGCCCAGCAGCTCCCACTTGGTGTGGCAGCATCTCCAAAGTGGGCTGGGGTGATGATAGCCAGTATGTTGGTCCTGCATTGTGAACTGACCACCTCTCCTGGCAGCTTTAGGTAAGCATTAAAACATTTCTCCCACTGCTAGGGGCAGAAGCTGGAACTCCAGAGATCTCCACAAGGGAGTGACCAGCTGGCCTGCCTCTCCTTTCTTGCAGCCACCAACTGGGACCATTTGCTAAGGAACAAGTATTGCCTCCAATCCCAGACCCTCATAGGTGGTTCAAGAGATACCATGGTGGCCAGTATCTGGGGAGGGGTACAATAGGGCCAGGAGATGCATAACCCCCTGCCCCCTCCCCAACGGTCATTGGCCAGATTGATCTTTCTATCCCATCTCTTGGTCTAGGGAATCCACTTTTTCTATAGCAGAGTTACAACTCCACCACCTTCCCTACAGCCTTTTCCTGAAAGACAAAGTTGGAGACTAGGCAACAGTCATCAAGTATAGGTGGCTCCAGGGAGGGCCTCTTAAGGAAGGGCTGCTGGCATCAACCCTTCCTACTATGACTTGCGGGGAGGGAAGGAACAGGCTAAATGGTTTGGTCAGTTTGGTGGAGCATGTTTGTAATGGAGTGTGTGTTTTCACACACAATGGGTGGGCCCCTTAAACTCTTCCAATACAATCCCTACTGTTGCGGCCCCCCAAGAAAGGAAAAAGAGGTCAGTCCCACTATGTAGACTAGACCAAGATACCAGCTCCAGAGGAATGCTAAAGCTACTTAATGTTCCCCCCCACCCCTAGTCGTGTGAGCTAGGGAGGTGTCTGTCTGAACTGCTTTCACTCTCCTGCTTGTTTGGAGCTTACGTTCTCCTTGTCCCTTTGGTAACGGATCTGGCCTATGTCTGTCACTGTCATCTTCCTTACTCTGTATCAGGGAACTACCAGGAATTCTGCAGGCATGTTAATTTGAGGCTAATCTTCCAGGGATGAGAAGACATCCAGACGCAATATTGTTCGAACAAAACCAGATTAAGGATACAAGGAACCAGCTAAAATCAATCTCTTCTCTTACAATTTCCAAAAAAATCCTAAATGGCATCTTGCTCTGCATTTTAGGCATTCCATCTGATTCTTCAGCCCCTCTCCAAGTCCAGATGCATTTCCTACACAGAAGTGAGATTGGGAAGCCACGGTGGGGGGCAAAACCACCAAGGCCTAATGCAGAGCCTACTTCCTGTGCTTCCTGATTAAGCTCAAGGAAACCTCCTTGCTTCCTACCAATTGCTGCTCAGAATTTGTTTCCTGGGCTTCGCTGGTCTCTGCCCATTTACCTAGTTTGACAGGCTTCATTTTGATTTATTAATTCTGATCTCTCAAGCTCTTGGGGTGTTGTCACTCATTACAATGTTCTAGAGGTAAAACTGTCAAGCCAGCATATTGAAAGGCAAGTCTTGCTGGAAAATCAACTTAGCTTTTTGAGTTCTTGGACAGTTAATATTCAGATGGAGAGATGTTGATCTTCTTCATACTTCAGTCAAGTGCGTGAGAAGCAGAATTGCAAAACTGCCTTGCTATCCCTATGCACATCATGAAAGTCAAGCATCTTTCTCTATCCATAGTTGAGTCATGCGTGAAGAGGAGACTGAGAGGGAAGCTAGTTTGAAAACAATCTGGAGCGAAAGCAGATAGACTTGCCAAAGGTTCAGCAGGCGATTGGAACAACGTTCTGTGGACACATGAAATGAAAGTAGTACCTTTTTATGTTAATGAGAAATATTATGTTACAAGAAAACAAAACACTGCATTCAACAAAAGATCCTCGTGCCAACTGTGAAGTGTGGTGGTGGAAACACCTGGACGCTTACCAACCACTGATGGAACAGTAGGGTCTGCACAGTACCAGCAAATTCAGAGTCACTGGTCTGAGATGGGCAGCTATATAAATAAAATAGAATAAAATAAACAAATATTCTACAAGAGCATGTCAGGGAGCCGGATGTAAGCAGAAAGTTAAACAAGTGAGGGTAACACCACATAAGTCCTAAACTATGACTAAGCAAAGGAATCTTGCATCCTAAAATAGCAAACTCAAAGCCTGACTTTAACCCAACTTAAATGTGACATGACCTGAAATGTTCATGCAAGGCCACCTCAAAATATCAATGAGTTGAAGCAACTTTAAAGAGCAATGGGCCAAAGTGCTTCCAAACCAATCTTTGGGACTGATCAACAGCTACAGGAAATGGTTGAAGTCACTGCTGCTAAGAGAGGCACCACCAAATACTGAATCAAAACCTTCACATTTTTTTTTCAGTGAAGACAGTGAATGAGTTTACTGAATGAGTTCAGTAAAAACATGACACTATACAGAACACCTTGTTTTAACCAGAAACTCTTTATCTTTTGATAGGACTTCAGGGAAACTCAGATCACATTGTAGTTCACCATACTATAGGATTAAGGATAGTTTGAAAGGGTTAATTAGCTTTCTCACTACTGTAAGTCTTCTTTGCAGATAGCCAAGGACAATAAACCCAATGTACATGTCTACCAATGCATTTCTTCTGAACCAAAATTACTAATATGTGACTCTCATATTCCATACGTTTATTGAGTGTTGGTGAGGTGTGCACTCTGCATATGCTCTTGTGCTTCAGGCTGCATTTAACCCTGGTTTTGCAGAACCTGGGACAACAGTAATTTTTAAAAACATTTAGTGTCTCCCTAGGAAGCAACTTAAAAAACCCTTGATAATGTCTTCTGCAGGCTGAGTGGTAGGTAGCAATCAGCACGGACCACCTTTCCTCATACTCTGGTAGCCTTGAGGAAAAAGAGAAAAATAAGAGTGGAGGGCTCATTCAAGGTTCCAGTTGTTTTCCATGCTGGAATGTACGAACTGTTTCAAGTTTTGTTCTGAGTTCAAAGCAAAGAACAGTTCCTATTTCATGCATGCTGCTAATTACTGCTGCTGAAGTCTGCCTGGAGAAAGACTGCAGCAGAACTGTGACTCAACAGCTAATCCATCCCTGGATCTTAGTTTGCCCCAAGTATTTGACCCTTTTCCACATTCTTTTGGACATCCAAATGAAGAGGAGCTGCTCAGGAAGGGATCAAGTTTCTCCTTCGCAAATACTTCTTGGCCTGCAGTTCTAGAACCAAAATTCGCATTGGAAAACTGTTGGTTGAGGAAAAGATACTGTTGTGATGACAACTAAGATACCAGTTTGAGCTAGCTGGCCTTTGAAAAACATTTCAGAGAAGCGAGTATTTGTCTTTTTACGCACCAATGATTTGTTATGTCACACAAAAGAACTGTAACATTCTCAATGCACTGTAAAGGTCACTGTCTCCCTGTGAAATAGGCCTGAAGACAGAAAAAGAATCCATGCTAGGTTAGCCCTAAAAGCAGGGTTGCTAGAAAGCTTGCGGCTAGCCAGAATAGTAGTTTGTATTTCCCTGGCTAGTCTCCCCAACTGTATTCTCTTCCTAATTCACTGACTTGAAGAAGTTTACGTCTACCTGTTCATGAAGTTGGTGCAAATATAACTCATTGCATAATTTTAAAAATGGGCATCAGGAATTGTTTCATTCCAGCAATCCTGGATGAGGAGGAGCCTTATTTGAATGTCTGCATCTCTCTTCTGGCAGACCAGACTAAGCAGCCTTTAAGATTT